GCTTTACACAATTGATGTGTGTATGGATTGGGATAACAGTTGTATGAGCCCCTAATAAAATGTTTAAAAAAAAAAAAAATTTTGAAAAAAAAAGACAAATGAAAAAAAAAAAAAAAAAAATCAACTCTTAACAACAACCAAAAACCCTCAATTACAGAAACAGAAGAAAAAGCTTCTCTAAAAGAAATGTACACTAAAACACATGGTTCTTGTCTTCTAGAGATAAAACCAAAAGTGCAAAACTACAAGGCTGTAAAATAATGTGTTTGGCAACACACATTATTTTCAAGAGTTTGGGCAACAGCTAAAACTAATAAACCCCAGCAGAAAAAAGAAAACTTTAGAAAAAATGATGGTATTGCTTACTCTTCGCCTGGGCTGTGGGAACCCATCTCTGTGCCGTCGTCTTGTTCGAGACCGCGCCTGAATTCCTTGCCCTTTATTAAGGGGGTCAAAGGACTCTACAATAACCAGTACAAAGCAGAATGTGAGGCAAATAGCTCTGATGTAGATTATGGTAAAATATCTGGCAATTATCATTGTATTATGTTGTTTCTCATAAAACAAACTGGGGAAATAAGAATTTCTCCTATATATGTAAAAGAAACAAAGGAATGTGTTACTTGAGTGATAAACATCACTGACAATCGAGAAATGATGCTATATGGTTACTGTGGGAAAAGGTAAAAAATTAGAAACAAAAGAAACGATCCAAACCCCAAATTACTTTAAGAATAATATGGTACAAATTAAGACCTTAAAAACTAGGTGCCATTTGTGTCCTCAATAGTGATCTCTAATTAGGTCTTTTAATCATGTCAATTAATATTTACGCCAATCTTTTAACATAAAAAACTATGGACTGACCGACGATGCTGCACAAACCTGATGGAAAATCTGCTTCCAGATCCTGTTCTGTCTCCCCCTTTGAGAACTGCTTCAACTCCGAGTCAGCAGCCTCTTGTACAGCATTTGACTTTAAGGCATAATGATTCAGTTCTTCCTCCCAGCTATGTGGAGTAGATACTGCCTCGGACTCGAGATCACCACTATACGTACTTCCTTGGTCTGAAATGTACAGAAAACAAATATTTAGACCATAAATAAGACAAACCCTTCACGTGCTCAAAAACCTTTCTAAAATTATGGGCACCGAAAACTGAGATAAGGTTGCTACATAATTACCTAGCTACCCAATGAAAAGGAAGAAACTCTGTCCACTAGCCTCATAGAAGTAGGCACTTTAAATTATAATTTCACTTAATCCTTAAAACAAATACCTCAGGAGCTGAAACTTTTCTCATTACAAGTTAGCACATATTATAGACATTTGATGATGCTTCAAATAGCTAAAACTACCAATATGAAATACTAGAATTCTGTGTCTATTCGGTTTTGATTTCTATTAGTACCAGACAGTACTATTTCTAAGATCAAAATTATTACCTTTTTCAAATATCTTGGTGTCTAGGAAGAGCTCCTGTTCTGAAGTTTGAGATCCTAAGAGTTAAAAAAAAAACAACTACATAAAAAAAGAATTTATACACACATTCACAGTAACTCTTAAAATAGCTAGTGAAATATATTTTTTTAAATGTAGGTACCATGCGCAGGGATCATAAAAGAACACCTGTTCTCATCGAGTCAATTCCGACTCACACCAACCCCAGAGGGTAGAGTGGAAGTGCCCAATAGGGTTTCCAAGGCCAATAGTCCTTACAGAAGTGGGCTGCCACATCTTACTGCCAAACTTCCTCCCACTGAGTAGATGATGGGTACCAAACACCAATATTTGTTATAGCAGTCAAGCACTTAACCACTGCATCACCAGGGCTCCTATCAATCATATTCGATAATTATATAATATAACCTTTTTTATATATATATATAAAGAATCCTTCTTAATACAACAAGCATTAGAAGTAATGCATGCAGTTAAATACATTACTTATACTTACGGTATTATTGATTATGCAAAGGTATTTGACTATATGGATCATAGCAAACTATAAATAACACTGAGAAGAATGCAATTCCAGACTACTTCATTGTAATGATGTAGAATCCATATATAAACTGAGAGGCAGTTCTTACAACAGAACAAAGGAATACTGCATGATTTAAATCAGAAAGGTGTGTGTCAGGGTTGTATCCTTTTATCATATTTATTCAAACCATACGCTGAGCGAAAAATTGGACTATATGAAGAAAAATGTGGCATCAGGATTGGAGGAAGGCTTAATAACGGGTAATAGACAGATGACACAACCTTGTTTGTTGAGAATGAGGAGAGCTCGAAGGACTCGCTGATGAAAATCAAAGATGCAGCCTTCAACATGGATTGCAATTCAATGTAAAGAAAACCAAAAATCCTTGCAGCGTGCAATTGGACTACACTCACATAAACCCCTCATATCAACATTATCTTCAACTCTTTGTCATTGGAAAAATTATTGATGTTATCAATAATTGTCTTATACCCCCAAGAGGATGATACAAATCATTTTTCTTTTTTATTTCTAAGGTTTTTTGTTTTTCTGTCTTTGTTTCTTTGTTGTGATTCTTGTTTTTGTCCTAATTCAACCGCCAAAGTAAACCAGAGTCATTCATAACCTGTGGACAGATGGATTCTGGGCTCCTCCTTAACTCTAGCTTAAATCCAAGAAGTTAGTTCTTATAACATGGTCCTGTTTGATACTCGCTTTCATGAAATGATCACTGAAGATAAGGGTGCCACAGCAGTGTGGTGAAGAAAGCAGATGGTGCCCAGCTATCAACTGGAATAGTGACTAGGGTCTTAAAGTCTTGTATTCAAACAAGCAGGCATCAAGGTGAGGCGTCAACTAAGTCCACAAAGAAGAAGCACCCCAGCCTGTGTGATCCAAAGATGACAACAGCAAAATCCCGATATGATGAAGGGAAGTATCAGAGCTTCAACTGTGAATACCCAGTGTGTACATACTCCGGTCTAGTCCGAAGTGAGAGACATCACTGGGGAAATGGTAGTGATGGGTGAGGAAGCCTCAAGGAACCAGAGGAATATTGTGTGACTCATCAGTGCTTTATTGCACTCTGATTTGACTCATCCCTTCCCTGTGACCCCTCTGTGACGGGATGTCCCATTGTCTACAGATGGGTTTTGGGTCTCTGCTCCAACCCCGCTGGTTCTCAACCATATGGTTTTATTTTGTTTGTTTGTTGAGGGTCTTCTGATGCCTGTGACCTGGTCCTGCCACCTCATGATCACACAGGCTAGTTATACAACTCTTTTTGAAAGCTATTTAACCATGGAAGGGTATGATATGTGAATAATAAATTTATCAAGAAAACTACTAAAAAAACCTCCCCAATACAATCGCTGAAGAAATGGGTGCATAAGCAAATGTGCTGAAGAAAGCTGATGGTGCCTGGCTACCGGAAGATATAGTGTCTGGGGTCTTAAAGACTTGAAGGTAAACAAGCGGCCATCTAGCTCAGAAGCAACAAAGCCCACATCGAAGAAGCAAACCAGCCTGTGCGATCATGAGGTGTCGAAGACATCAGGGGATCAGGCATCATCAGAGCAAAAAATCCTATCATTGTGAATGAGGGGGAGTGCGGACTGGAGACCAGAATCCCATCTGTAGGCAATTGGACATCCCCTTACGGAAGGGGATGAGCCAGTCAGGGTGCAGTGTAGCAACGATAAAACATATAACTTTCCTCTAGTTCCTAAATACTTCCTACCCCCGACCCCACTATCATGATCCGAATTCTACCTTACAAATCTGGCTAGACTAGAGGATGTACACTGGTACAGATAGGAACTGGAAACACAGGGAATCCAGGGCAGATGATCCCTTCAAGACCAGTGGTGAGAGTGGTGATACCAGGAGGGTGGAGAGAGGGTAGGGTGGGAAGGGGGAACCGATTACAAGGATCTACATATAACCTCCTCCCTGGGTGATAGACAACAGAAAAGTGGGTGAAGGGAGACGTTGGACAGTGTAAGATATGACAAAATAATAATTTATAAATTATTAAGGGTTCATGAGGGAGGGGGGAACAGGGAGAGAGGGGGAAAATGAGGAGCTGATGCCAGGGGCTTAATGGAGAGCAAATGTTTTGAGAATGATGAGGGTAATTAATGTACAAATGTGCTTGACACAATTGATGTATGTATGGATTGTGATAAGAGTTGTATGGCCCCTAATAAAATGATTTTTTTTAAAACTAAACTAAAAAGAGAGAGAGGGAAACCAAACTTGACCAATGGTCACCATAGGTAAAAGAGAAAGAGTTATTGCTCAGTAGACATTGAGTTTATGCTAATAGTAGTAGAATAACTTGAGAAGGATATAAATAATGACTGTATAACACAAAGTGTATAATCAATGGCACTGAATTATATATGTAGAAGTTGTGGAATTGGAGAATGTTTTGTTGTGTATATTTTTGCCACAATTAGGGGAAAAAATTACATCAGTAACAACGAGTACTAGGAAGAAAAAAATGTTCTAGAATTGAATGTGGTGATAATTGTACAACTATTCTTGATGTGATCGAATTACTGAATTGTATGACATGTGTATGAAGTACTAATAAAACTTCAAATACAGAAAGAAAACCAAAATCCTCAGAAGAACAACAGACAGCATCATGATAAACAGAGAAACGATTAAAGTCGTCAAGATTTCATTTCACATGAATCCACAATCAGTGATCATGGAAGCAGTAGTTAAGAAATCAGAAAATCTACTGCACTGAACAAATCTTCAGCATAAGACCCTTTAAAAAAAGTGTTGAAAAGCAAAAAAACGTCACTATGAGAACTAAGGTGAGTTTGACGCAAGCCCCGGTGTTTCATGCATGTGAAATGTGGACAGTGAATAAGAAAGACTGAAGAAGAACCGGTGCGTTTGAATTGCGGTTGGCCAAGAAGACTGGCAGCACGTGGACTGCCAGAAGAACAAACAATTCTGCCAGGAATGCTCTTTGGGAGCAAGGGTAGCAAGACTTTGTGCCACATACTGTAGGCATGTTATTAAGATTTAAGCTTTTACCAACCTCTCAGAATATATATGATTTTAAAGCTCGCTGCCAACACAATAGAAAACTTGAGTGTTTTTCAAATACTACAACTTTATTTTAAAAAAACCAGGTAGCATTTATTGTGCAAAGCCAATACTCAGTGGCTGGCTTTCTAAATCCACCATGGGGCAGTTTCTCAAGAACGAAATAATCTCTTGGCTCCTGAGAGATAGCATATTACATATTACAAATGTCAAGCATTTTGAACACTATTTCTTTAGCTCTTCATTAGATTATTATTCTCTCTACCTGTATGTTACAAAAGAAAATCACATCTTCGAAGAAGTAACTTCACTACTTCCAGTCTAAAAACATTTTGAAAATTATTATTGAATCCTGGTTGTTATCATGTGCTTTGGAACAGATCTGGATTCACATTGTGTTTCTAGCCCTTATTAATTGCATAAGCAGGGAAAGATCTTATTTTCCAGATGAGGGTATTGAAATAAATAAATAAAGGCCCTACCTCAGCACTGCATCAAGTTATCACAGAATGCATTTAGGACAATGCCCGAAGCATGGGAAGCACACGGAAGGTAAAATACTATTATTACCACTATTTCACACTAATTGAATAGAATTTGCCTATATGGCATTTGGAACTAAATGGTTTTCCATTCTAAGGTTCTATTTACCCTTCCCTAATATGTTGCTTACTGTAAAACATGAATTCTTATCTGGGGATCATGGCTTTAAAATAGAGATAAAAACAAAATGATTATGAAACTAAGATTTACATGTTAATTTCTAGAGTCATGAACAACTAAGAACTACACTGAATACTGATAGTGAGTTTTCTTTCATAATGGAAAAAAGAGCTCTCAAAGGTACCAACAAGTTTAATAAACCTAGAATCTTGGAATTTAAACACAAAGAAGCCTTTAGAAAAATCCTGACAGCCGGATACCAGTATCACTGGGTCAGCTGGAAAATCTACAGTTGTGTCTTTTTGTTCTTCTGCAATCATACCAACCTCCCTGGGACAGAGTCTTCTCTTTCTCTTCATCTTCTGCAATTATTTCTGCCATCTCAAGGAGGTCAGCTTCAAATGGATGTGAGGGAAGTTTTTCCTTAATGTCTTCAATACTTTCAGTGACTTTATCTTCGTTATCCATTGACAGTGGAATAAGCATGGGGACAGGCACCTAAAAGACCATGGATAGAATGGAGAGTTTCTTAGGCAGCTGGTACCCCATACGACCATTAATGGTGAGATGATTAAAGAATTAAAATAATAAACAAATTCAAGCTATCTTCATTGCTATGATTATAATGTGTCTTGGTTAACTTGTTTTTATAAGACCCACCCACTTTCACTGAGTTGATGCTGACTCACAGTGATCCTGTATAGGGTTTCTGAGACTGCACATCTTTATGAGAACAGACGGCCCCATCTTTCTTGAAGGAGCGGCTGGGTTTGGACCACCATCACTTTATGGTCAGCAGTCCAACACTTACCAGAAAGTGTCACTGGGACACGTTTTTATAAGCTGCATTTTAATAAAAATTAAATGCTTTTTGGATACTCAATATAATGAGTCCCTATAGCCTCTGAAACCATGTTTTAATGCACTTGGAGGAAGCCCTGATGGCATAGTGGGCTAAAGCACGGTTCTAACTGGAAGTGGCTAAGGTCATTATGCTCAGAAGGACCAGGCAGTGTTTCATTCTGTAGTGCATACGGTTCTGAGTCGGAAGCAACTGGACGACACCTAACAACAAAATTCAGTCTCAGAAACCCAATGGAGCAGTTCTAGTCTGCCCTCTATGCTTGCTGTTAGAATCAGTGCTATAATATTGAATGAGAATGGACTACTGTTGGATTTTACTTACATTTCTTTTGGGTTTTTTAATTTTTATTTTTTTATTATTATTTTTTGTTTACTTATATTTCTTGATTAACACTATTGTTTCACTACCTCGCTTACAAATTCACTAGCAGGGATTATGTATTTCCTCTGGAATTGTCCTCTGAAAAAGTGATAATCATGCAAATCACAGTATATCTCTTTGCAGGAACCCAGCACTGTAACATGCATTGTTTCTGATCTTTTTTTATATTTAGTGGTTTTATTTTATCAGTTTTTCCAAGAAGCACTAAGAAGGTGGTTTACAAAGATCAGTAGTCCTTTTCACCACTCCCTCCCATCGAGCCAATGGAAACTCTTAGCAAGCCTATAGGGCAGAATAGAATTGCCCCCTTGAGTTTCTAAGACTGTAACTCTTTACAGGAGTAGAAAGCTTCATCTTTCTAACTCAAAGTGGCTGATGCTTTCGAACTACAGACCTTGTGGTTCCACTACACCAATAAGGCAACTTTTAGTCCTTTATATGTAATCCCTATTAAGTGATATGGTAACACTCAACAACAGGCAGATTTCTTTTATCAATAAGTGAAAACTTTCCCCAAGTAGTTGCAAAATTTTAATTGTGGAAAAGACTAAACTAACTTTAGTATCTAAATGATTACTCACTGGAACTGGAATTCCAAAGGGGACCGGTGCATACTGCGTATAAAGATGAAGAGGTATAGGTACAAACACTGGCACAGGGACTGGCACCACAATGACCTGGGGGGGACTTGGAGTGTCTTCTATTAAAAAGCAAATCACAAAGCACAGAGAGTTAGAAAGCACATTTTAATAAACTTTCAAAAATGAGTTTAGAGAGATTTATAGTGCAAAATACCTGTAAACTAGGCAGCTATGAATTCTTAGCAAAGAAATATCTATTACAGTAGCAAACACAGGTTTGAGGATGGCATGGACTCCAAGTGAGTAGCATTATAAATGTCAGTGATGTAAAAACAAATGCACGGAGGATATAATTAGACAGATGTGGACAGATGCATCAAAAGACCTGGAGCATGAGCCGAGAATAAAAGGAATATTGACCACAGCAACCCAACAGAAATAAGTAAGCTATGTCAACATAGTTATTTTCAACTCCTAGATACAGAATAGAACAGAACAGAATTACCCCATCTTTCTATGGTGGATTCAAACCGCTGACATTTCAGTTAGCAACTGAGTACTTTAACCACTTCATCACCAGGCATGAAACTACAAACTCACTGCCACTGAGTAGTTCCGACTCATAGCAACCCTGTAGAACAAAGTAGAACTACCCCTTGGGTTTCTGAGACTGCAAATGTATACACGAGTAAAAAGCTTCATCTTTCTTCTGCAGTGCGGCTAGTGGTTTCGAACTGTGGACTTGGGAGTTAGCAACCCAATTTATAACATACTATACCAACACTATGCCTCTGTACCACCAGGATTCTAGTAGCATAATAGGTTATGTGTTGGACCATTAACCCCAAAGTGAGCAGTTCGAAACTGCCTACCACTCTGCAAGATAAAGATGAGGTTTTCTACTCCTTAAATTACAATCTTGGAAACCCACAAGGGCGGCTCTTTTCTGTCCTACAGGTTCAATATGAGTCAGAATTGATTTGATGACAATACCATCAGGTACAGAGGGGCCACAACGCAAATTTTAAATTATTTCTAGTACCCAATAGTAACATGCTAATTCATAGGCCAAATAATTAATAAGAGAATTATGACTAGAAACAGCTAAGGAAAGCCATCCTTGGGCCAGAATAAATCTCAAAGAAAAACCTCAAAACTAGCCTGCCTCCATTATCCAAAAACAATAGTGCTAATTCATAGTGGAGCCTAAAGGCTAGCTGCAAGGAGTCTTGGTGGCAGAGTGGGTTACTTGTTGGGCTGCTAACTACAAGGCCAACAGTGAAGACTCCACTCGCTGCTCCATGGAAGAAAGATGAATTTTCTGCTCCCATAAACAATTACAGCCAGGGAAACCCAAAGGACAGTTCTACACTGTCCTATAGGAATGGTACAAGTTGGAATTGACTCAAAAACAGTGTTTTGTTGTTTCAAAGGTCAGTTGCAATATCACATAAGACCAACAAGTCTGCTTAACAGAGAGATCAAGAAAAGGCACATTCAGAGAGCCCTGCTAAACCCACTGCCATCTCAGAGTAACCATTTGCACCCAAGATTGTCCCCTAGCGGTGATGTCACTTAGCAAAGCCAAGAACATGGAGAAGGGAGATTTCGCTAAAACAGCCTAGTCAAATCACAAAAGAAATGCACAAGAACAAACACTGTGTGTGTGTGGGGGGGGGGGGTGACCCACAGTTGCTATATTACCTAAAATATCTACTTTGCAACAAAAAATTTTAAGACGGTAATACAAAAAAATAGGAAACTATAACCCATTCACCAGAAGAAAAAAATGCAACAGAAACTGCCTGTGAGAGGAGATGTCAGACCTATTTCAAGAACTCAAAATAGCTTTTACAAGAACAAAGAAAATGATATTTTAAAAAATAAAGTATGATGACAAGGTCTCTTCCATCAGAGAATATCAACAAAAAGGTAGAAAGTATAAAAATTCTGATTCTAAGGTATGAAAATTTAAAAAACAACAACAAAAAAAGAAGTTGCTTATAAGAGACTCAATTGGTGGATTGTATTTAACAATAAAAAAGAATATCATACAATTCTCAGCCATTTTCAACAAAAATTATTTTGTGGTAGAATTTTGTGGCCATTGTTGTGGTAAATATTTTATAAGATATGACAAAAAAAAACCTCATACAACTTATCACACAGCAGCCAAGAAGCAGAACTAAAATGTTTAGAAGATGAAGGCAACATATGTAGAAACACGCTTAATACAATTGATCTATGGACCTTTATAAGAGCTGTGAGAGCCCCCAGTAAAACGATCTTTAAAAAAATAAAAACAAAAGAAGCAGAACTAGAATGTAGAGCCAGGTTTAAATAATTCCAAAGCCTATGCTAGTCTACAGTATTACACTGTCATTATAATAATAAAAGAATGAAATGAAGGATTTATTCACTGCTATCGAGCCAATTCTGACTCACAGTGACCATTCGGACTGCCTCTGTAAGTTTCTAAGACTGTATATCTTTGTGGGAGTAGAAAGTTTCATCTCTCTCTCAAGGGGCAGTTGGTTCAGAACTGCTGACCTTGCAGTTAGCAACTCAATGTGTAACCACTATGCCACAAGGGCTCCTTTAAAGTATTCCCAGTATGGTATTAACCAATTTCATTCTCTATGACATGAATGTCTTAAACCTTAGATGGGGAGAAAACTTAAAAAGATGTTGAGAAAACTACAAAGACATATATATATATATACACACACACAGACACACACAATCAAATACATGACCTAAGAAATAACAGATGCTCAATGCAAGCAGATTCCACATTCCTTTCCCATAAACTAACCAAAATGTTAAAAGCACAAAGAGTATACCTGTCTGGCATTCTTTGTTTTGAGTATGTGGTTTGCAAGAAGTAGCTTTAGTTTGTGTAATAGGTTTGCACAATAAAGCTTTGTTCTTCAAAAGCCTTGGAGGTTGGGATGGTGGTAGTTTCAGGGCATCTGTCTGTGTACTTGCCTAGTTAAAAAATAAACCAGAAACCAAGGAGGTTTTCAAAATGTTAATATTTATAACAAGGGATATAATTTTATAAGAAATGTCTCCCCAAAAAAGGAAATGTAACATTGGAATTACAAAAAAGATATAAGCAGTCAATTATATTTGTGAGAAATATTGGATTCCTGATATACTATAGTAGTAAAGATACTTACTATGATACATATATATTGTCTCTGATTACCTGTTTTATTTACTAAAAATGATACAATTTCTATTGTAAGGCATTGTTGATTAATAATATTGGTAGATGTTAAAATGAGAATTGCTACTTCTTGAATGAGTTAAGTTTTAGAGGACTTAGTTTCAAGATAACTTGGAATAACAGAAAACTTTCTGACCATTTAAATATTTTGAATAAAAATGCTATGAAAGCTATCTCAAAGGCCAGGAATATTTAAAAATCCCATTGTTCCTGTCAGATGCTCTTTCTCAATATTTACTCTTTTGTTTAATTTACACTTTTCTTCAGAGATAAAGCAAAAATTACTGATGAATAAAAAATGAATGGTTATTTATATGCAAATCTCCCATAGGGGAAAACTAGCTACATTTAAATAAATATTTTACTTAGAATCTGACTACGTTATGAAACTGCCAAAAATTCTTTTATGCCTGAAATTAAAAGTATAATTTACTTCTATTCTGTACAATAAATAAATACTTGTAAGGACTTTCAGTAACTACATGAGGACAGCAAGCATTCAAAAAATTTACAGCACATAAGTTACCTAATTAAATAACAAGAAAACCCCATTCTTGAACAAAGATGAAAAAAGTCAGTAATATTTATTTTATACAATTAAGAAAGAATGCCAAAAACAAATATAAAAAAACCTAGAAAACAAAAAACCACTATGCCACGAGAGGCTCCTTTCAATAGAGAGGGGCAAATTAGCCCAAACATATTCATATTGCTTAGCTTAAAAGTTGAAAGTAAATACAGTGGCAATAACAGTATGAATAATAAAACTTACATCCCCGATGATCTTCGCTGTTACTGTCGGAACTGCACCTGATATAAATTAAAACACAGATTGAGGATAGCATATGATGATGTAAATATTAGCAGTAAAAGCTCATTTTGATCAGTAAAACAGCATCACCATAAGAACATCTGTTATCTTAATATAATGCAGTGGAAGAGACTAGTAGTTCTAAATTATAATATGCGAAAATCAAAGCAGAGCTCATAGAACACTGGCCACAGAGAGTCACTTTCCTAATAGAAATGTGTCACACATATGAAAATGATTTCTGATGAAAGAAAGTACAAAACCACTGTATTCACCTCATAATGGTTAGACATACGCTTTCAAATCCAGCAATACCTTGTAAGACGCTGTTAGAGTTCACTGTGGGCTGGGCAGCAGGAGCACTTGCCAGTGATACTACATTAGCAATAACTGGAGTTGAATCTTTTCTTAGGGAAGGGGGTCCTGTTGAAGCAGCTTGCACCATAGAAATACTTGCTGATCAAAATAAACAAAACAAGGAAAATTCAAGTAATTAATATAGATTTACAGATACAATTATTTCAACAAGGTTAAACAATGTTTTAAGGTGAATTTCTATTAAAACAACACTTTGGGATTAACTGGGTTGATTTGTTACTTATTTTTAAAACAGAGAAATTTAATTCTTACATGTATTTTATCTTCGTGAAAAAATATCATGAGTAGTTAAAAAAATTATTTTTAGTCTAAAAGGCACAATACTAATAAAGATCCCCAAATAGATTTAATGGACATTTAAACCTAATGTGCTTCTTAAATCTTGCCTTAAGATTTGGTATTTTTAAGTGTCTGAAATGGGATCTTACAGATTTCTTTCTGTTTTTAAAGAATCTGTATTTAAATCATTTTAGCTTTTAAATAGTTCTATAAAGTATTATAAACTTTACTTAGCCTTAATATTTCTGAGATTAAATGACCTAACTATGTCCATGGCATACCAAGTAAAAATTTACAACCTTTGAACCCCAACGGGGCAGCTCTACTCCGTTGTATAGGGTCGGTATGGGTAGGAATCAAGAGGACAGTGAGGTTTTTCTGAGAGTCCTTTATCATTTGTAGTCTCACATCCCTTTCAGAAAGACAAGGTGTGTACAGCAAATTTGCAAATTACTAACTGGTGTAGCTCAGGGTTAGGTGGGTTCAAACTCACCAGTCACACCGAGAGAGAGATGCAGCTGTCTGCTTCCAGGAAGACTTATGCTTAGGAGTTGGAAGAGACTCAATAGCAGTGAGGAGTTTGGGGTTTGGGGAAGTATTTTTTTGAGGGGTGGGTACCTATATTACTTACGGACTTTTTGAATTCAATATACTCAGAGAAAGTAAACAGAACTTATTTCCATTCAGCTTTAACCTAAAGCACCAAAAAACAAAAGGGAACCTAAAATTTAAAGTGATTTGAACACAATAAAATTTATGTTTCATGAAATTATTAGCAACTGTTTATAGTTCCTCATCTGTATAAGTCTGTCAAAAATTGGACTGGCATAAAGGGTTTAAACACAAGCACAATTGTGAAGACAGGATAGGACCACACTGTGTTTCATTCTGTTGCACACAACAGTCACCGAGTAGGAACAACTCAACAGCACCTAACAACACAATCTGTGGAAATACAGTAGCGAGTTCCTTGTACTTAGCAACGATCTCATTCATAAATTAGGTCTAGTTTTACCTGCATTGTTTTGTGAAGGTGGCTCACACATACTCTGCTGGTTACAGAACATCAAGATACAAAGCAGGTTACAAAAGTGTTTTATTTCTCCTCTCCATTTCAAGGACTCGCTGAGTTTACCCTGTCGTTTGCAACCATCACATTTAGCCATCTGAGAAAGAAATAGAAGATAGCAAAGGGGTGAGGAACAAACGGCTTACCAGAATGAAAACAGGACAACATAACATGTAAGGAAATTAACGTATGTATACATTTCTCAATTTCATTTTAAATAATGAATAATTAAAAACCACATCACACTGAAAGATTTCAACAAGTATCAATTTAAAAACAAAATTAAGTCAAAAATAAGACCTCTTTTCAAAGACTTTATTAAATTAAATTTAAAAATTAGAATTCAGAATACTTCTTTAACACTGATATATCTTCTAAAAGGAAATGAGATAACAGAATAAAACTTCAAAAACATTAAAGTCTTTTCAAATCTTACATTAACATTTAAAAGTTTTAAGTCCGTAAAGTGTCCTTCAGAGCACATAATACAAGAAAGGGGGACATTTTATGCCCTAGCTTGAAAACTCAAAGAACATGAGTACTTTTTACCTGATAGAACAGAACTGTGTATTTTGACATGCATTCTTCACAGCAGAACTCTTCCACCTTCCCCCCTAAATTATTCTGTACCAATTTGGGGGATGTCTGTAAACAATAACTGCACATTTTACAGTGATTTCCCCAACGTTTTGCCAAGTCATGTTTATAGAGCAATTTGCAACCTAGAAATTAGGAAAGAGAAGAATAAAACTAGGGAGAAATATCCGTATTTTTATTTAAATGATCTAAGACAGTTTCACACTTGAGACCAGACTAATCAGTAGATCAAGAGATCAATTTAGAAGAAGGAAAGTAGCATTTTACAAACTGAACTGATAAGGCAGGAAAGCACAGGATAGAAAACTCTGAAATGCACCACACATGTTCAGTTCTGTTTCTCAACTTCTGAGTATGTCATGTTTTGAAAGCTGCTGGTCTAGAAGATTAATCTGTGTCATTCAAAACTGCAACACTCTAAACATATTAAAGTCATTTAAATTAAAAACGGCATCTATGTCATACTGATTTGCATATTAAGACCACTTATATTCAGAAACATAATGGCTGTTTAAAATGTTTTGAAATAAAATCTTAGGCTGCAACCATAACTTTAAGGAATTCCCTTCAGAAATAAGTATATTAATTAAAAGATCATTCAGGTTCCTATAATCTGATAATGTTAAATTTTCAGCATCATTTATGCATACATTTCTCAATATATACATACATTCAGGATTTTTTCCTTTACTGTAACTTTTATATATAAAATGAAGGATTACATCATAAAAGAGTAAACTAAGTGCAAGCAAAACAAAGAGGTTCTGGCATTACACACAAAGGATGAAACAGTGGACTTACAGCATAAAAATTTAAATCATCAACAACTTTTAGAAAAACTAGCATGCTCAGTAGGTAAGATAATCCTATGTCTTTACCTTCACTACAGAATGACTTGTCAGCACCTGAGAATCGCACAGTCTCCTTTATAATTTTCTCAATTTTACAATATTCACACATTGCCATTACATTATTTATTTTCTTATATTCATCGGAACAATTCTTGCCACAGAACTGAAACATTTTACCCTGAAAAGAAATAACCATTGAGTACTAATTAAACATTTGGTTTACCTTATGGAAATCCTTGCCACTCTTACTTTCAAAACAAATACGTGAATTTTTCAGAGACTAAAAATGATTTTATGAATAGGGTGATTTATACTCAAACCCTTATTACAATCCTGTACTTTACCTTATAGTCCAGAAGTTCTGGTTTTGTGGCAAAAAGACGGTTACAGTGCTGACACTTGAGTTTCACCACACTTCGTGCAAACCCAACATGTTGAGATTGAGCAGCAAGACGCTGGAGACCAGCTGCAGCAGAGCTACTGATCGAAGTGGGAGAAACAGCAGAGGTGGTACCTCCTCCTGCAGACACTGTTGAACCTGTGGGGATGCTTACAATCACTTGGCCTTGAGATAGGGGCACTACTGAAGAATTCATTCCTGTTGGTTTGTTGAACAAGTTCTGAAAATATAAACACAAATTTTAAAAGGTCAATCCAATTATGCCAAGTACAGTTCTAAGTATTTAAGATACATCTGTGAACAGGCAACATTCTTCCTATGAACAGCTTCAAATACAATGGGGAGAGTTCATTTAGGTCTCTAAAATTAAGTAATTCAATATCGTCCATCACAATGTTCTCCAAACAGATAACATAAGTAACAATGCTGATGCATGTGCTGCCAAGCAGATTGTGACTCAGAGTGACCCTACAGGACAGAAAACGACCCCACAGCGGTTCTACCACATCTTTCCCTAGAGGAGTGACAGGTGCGTTAGAACTACTGAACAGTCAGTTAACAGCTGAGCATTACCACTGTGTCATCAGGGTTCCTCTGGGTAATAATCAAAACCAAATGCCACTGAGTCAATTCTGACTCACAGTGACTCTGCCTTTGCATCAGAGGATACAAATCTTTATAGGACCAATAGTCTCAAATTTCTCCAAAGAAGAGGCTGGTGGGTTTCAACTGTCAACCATGTGGTTAGCAGTCCAAGACTTATCCCAACCAGGGCCCCATTTGGTAATAATGGTACTATTTCATTTTACAGAAAGCAGTTAATTGACATGCCTCCAAGTACAGGATGAGCCACAAGAGCCCAAACTTCATAGGATGAGACAAAAATTTAGACAATCCAGGCATTATCAAACACTTCACAGGTTTACGTTATGATTGACTAACACACTAGAGAAAAGGAAGATTCCCGAGGCCATACCTGGAAAGCCACCACACAACTGTAGCTGCAGAAGTTGCGTATACTTCCATCTGACATAGCTAGGTGATACTGAGGGACTGCTGAAGTTTTACAACTGTTACATTGAACTTGTACACCTTAGCAAATCAAAATAAAAACTAATGAGTGATATATATAGATGTACACATGTCTGAGAATAAAATTATACAATATACAAAAGTTCAAGGACCAGGTTAAATTGCAGGAACTGAAACTAAACTCAATGGTCACATATAGACAAAAACTAACATAACATTAGATTTATTATTTTTTTAATTTAAAGTCATTAGTTTTATCTTGAAACTACAAATAAAAAATCTTAAAATAAATCATGTGTGGATAAAGAAGATATCTTAAAAGAAGCTACATAAAATCCCTTTAAAAAGAGGGGAATGAACAAGCAAGCAAGTAAATGAACAAGAAATAAGCAATCAAGGCAACAGATGCTACATACGTGGACAAAAATCTGTACTATTAAAATAACCATACTTTTCAACTATCACATTTATATATTTCATGAAACCAGTGTTACCTGTGGAAGTAACAATTTTAACTCTGTAAGCTGATAAACAATTAACAGAACAGAAAAGCTCTGTCTTCCCCAAGCTATTGGTATTTTCAATCATTTCTGCTGAGGATCTCAATGATTTGCAAAGTGCACATGGTGTAATTTTGGCTGATTTCTATTAAGAGAATAAAACAACATTAATTTATACCAAATTCTGAATAAACTCTTTGTAATGTTCATTATTTTTAAATAGTTTAAATCAGTGGCTTTCAAACTTTTATGATTATTATCCTCAGTAAGAAATAAACTTTACAGAGTGATCCAATATATGCATACTTCTGAGGTTTTTGTGCTTGTATATTATATATGTATTTAAACAACCGGAAAATTTTATCATAAAATAATATATCTCATTTGTGCATATTTTATTCTTAAAAAGATAAGGTGACAAGCTAGCAATTAATTTCAGGATCTTCTATTTGATTGTGAGCACAGCTTTAAAATTATTTTAAATAATAACAAAACAGAAAATTCATGCTTTTATACTACATAAAAGTTGGAAGGACTAACAACAATAAAAAGCAACAGAAAAATTAAGATGTTAATTAAAGGAAACAAGTTCCTAAACTTACAAGAAAATTAATTGGAAATATTTTACTACTATCAAAATATACTGCATCAAAAGTGGTATCAATAATTGTACATTAAAAGTGTCCAAATATAAATCACCAGAGCCTGTTATCGTAAGCCTTCAACTCAAAGATTAGCAGCCAAATAATTCTAACTGCTATCAATCATGTCACACATTCATAATAACTCATAAAGTCTGTCCAGGACCCATTAAGGGAATTTATTATATCTGTTCCTCTTTAAGGTTATGAATATGAGACTTGTTACTAAAAGATACAATGCACTGTAAAGTGAGAAAACGTATGCATTCTGTAATGTCTCCTGCTAGTTCTAAATCTATCCTTTTCTCTTTCTGCCAAGGACTGCAAACACCAATTTAGTTTTCACAAGGTCAAAGGCCATTCCTGTGAGCATTTGCTGACAATCCCATCGTGCCCTATTTCCCATTTTATTCTTAAAAAATAATAATATGGAATGCACTCTAACAATTCCAGGATCTTTTAATTGACTGTGCGCAGAGCTTTTAAAACATTTTAAATAATAACAGGAAATTCATGGTTTATACTATCGTAAAAGGGGGGAGCACAACAACTAAAAAGGGTACTATAAATAGCAAGTAAAAGCGACCATGCTCCCATTGCCTCCCACTGTATTCCATACACTTTCTATCAAATGCTCATTTACATCTCTCTCCTAGTATACATAGGACCTCATAACAGAAATAGCATCTAATGTTCTTTAAATTAATTGTAAGGAAGAAAGAAAAAGTCACAGAAATGACTGTAAAACGTCTCAGGTTTTACACTAGGTTCTAGCTCATTCTTACTCATGTAATACTGAAAGCATCCTTGTGACATCTCACTGCCAAGGAGGTGATAACAATGCATAGCAACCCTAATGGACAGAGTAGAACTAACCCTGTAGGTTTCTGAGAGCGACCATAACTCTTCATGGGAGCTGAAAGTTTCATCTTTCTTCTGTGGAGTGGTTGGTGGTTTGAACTGCTGACCTTGTGGTTAGCAGCCAAATGCTTTACCACTACACAACCAAGGGTCCTCCCTTGTAACACATTTAACAACTCATTCAAGATGAGGAAAATGGAACTGAAGAAGTTTACTTTCTCCAAGGTAAAATGGATTTAAATAGGAAGTCCCCAAATAAAACCTAGCCTGCTTTACTTTTCAATTCATATCTTTCTCTACCAAAATGCAATTATTAATATAAGAAAAGAAAAGTACTGGGTATAGCCACCAAAAAATTCATAATAAATTTAAAACTAAGATATTTCCTCCTAACTTTCTCCCTCTAGTGTAATCTGAACTATCCTTAAATGGACTGAACCCAAGTAACTTAGTATCTGATACAATATTAGGAAAAGATTAGTCTTTTGAATATGGCAATACACCTGAAGAGAATAGACCGTCACCCCAAAAGGTGTTTCTAAAGGGAGGAAAAAATAGAAAAGCGAATGCCTTTTAATGCTCCTGTACATTAATAAAAAATAAACTGAAACATTGTAATGTTTAACATTTCAAAATTGTGAACTTTTAAAAACAATTTAAAACCAAGGGCTAAAGTAGAAAGAAAATGTTTTGAAAATGATGATGGCAACAAATGTACAAATGTGCTTGACATGATGGATGGATGTATGGATTGTGATGAGTTATACAAGCCCTCAATAAAATGATTTATTTAAAAAAAGAAACAATTTAAAATAAATTTTTTAATTAAGATTAAATTACCAATTTTGGTAGGGTACATAAAAACTCACTATTCTAACAAAAATAATGCAAATTTATCAAAAAATTTAATACCATATATACTCGTGTATAAGCTGAGTTTTACAGCACATTTTTTTTTCAGAAATCAATATTGTTTTTATTATTTTGTTGTTGTTGTTGTTGTTTTTTGTTGTTTTGTTTTGTTTAACATTTTATTAGGGGCTCATACAACTGTTATCCCAATCCATACACACATCAATTGTGTAAAGCGCATTTGTACATCGTTTCTCAAAACATTTTCTCTCCATTTAAACCCCCGACATTAGGTCCTCATTTTCCCCTCCCTCCCCGCTCCCCCCTACAGCACATTTTTAATGCAGTTTTTGTGGTACAATTAGGTGCTTGGCTGATATTTGGTTCGGCTTATACTCGAGTATATATGGTAATAACTTTCGATTCCTTTGTTTCTAAGCTTTAAAATTTAATATGCAATCAATATGTAGTCAAAATTTACTAGCAAAATATCAATCTAATACTGAACACCAAAGGGTGGAAAACTATTTGTCATAAAGCTGCTCTAGTTCATCATATATAAACCTCATCAATATATAACCCAAATCCATTTTTTTCTATTTCCTATTGGAAATTGAAAAGACCTTGGCTATAACAATCTTCTTCCTTTTTCCTTATGCTTTCCTTAATTTTATCGTTTGTTTTGCAATTTCTACCACAAGGTTCTAATTTCAACATACGGATCTGATTTTAAGAACAGGTCTTCCACATGGGCCTTATCTTATCAAGTAAAATGTTTAGATGCAAACAATAATTTACTTCAAAGTCTAGAACATACACACCAAAAGGATGAGACTGGTTATGTCTGGGAGATGGCATTATGTTTCATCTTTATGATTTTCTGCATTTTCAAAATATTGTTCGCAAATGTAAATAACATTAAAAATAATTTAAAATTTGGAAGTCATGCACTAAAATTATATACTTCAAAATGTATGAACAAAATGGCCTCTTATAAAACTTGATAAGACTATTTAAAACACATTCATTTGACAAAAACTATTAATGTATGAAAAAATTAGTAAAAAATAAGGTCTATTTTTCAGAATATATTAATAAATGATGTCTACTGAAAACTTCACACCCCTAAACCAAAATCAATATATACAACAGAATGAAAATTTGCTCATGTACCTGCTTATAGGCTGTGACACATGTTGAACTACAAAATTTCTTAGACTGTCCTTCTATCTGCAGCATGTGGCACTGACCAGAGCCACTGTAACAGTAACCCCCACAGTTCTCACAACAGTTCATGGTGAGGTTGTTAGCTGAGCGAAACTTGGAGAAACAAGCATCACTGCAAAGTTTATGTACCACATTCTGGTAATTAACTTCATGTCGAATCTAGGAATTAAAAAACAGGAACATAAAAGACAACAAACACAGACCATCAAAAATGTCCTCTAAGCAAAAACTAGATTTCTTTCCCCAATAAAATACACAGGTAACTTACAACAGCAGTTTTCTGACACATGCTGCATTTGGTTGAAATGTTATTTGTATTTAGGGAAACAACAGGTTTTCTTTTCAGTTCGTATGTTGACAAACATGATCGACTGCAAAATACTTTACTAGGCGTGGCATTTTCAAACTGGGCATTGATCACATCCTTTGGATTTAAAATGTCCCTAAAAATGATAACAAAGATAAAATAAGTCACAGTATAATTTTTTCCTCTTTTTGTGAATTAAAATAGCAAAATAAAACATAGGCAATAAAAATTAAACGGGCTTTAGAATTCTACTACTAGATGAATTTGATGGCCTACATTGAAACTTACCAGCAATTTGATCTAGGACAAACAGGTATATTGTTTTTACCCTTAAGTTTTGTTTTTTTTAATCCTTAAGTTTTAATGGAACTAATACGATCTACTTTATAGATCATTTGTGAGAATCAGTAGGTTATGTTTCAAAGACTAAAAGAATACATACCAAATGATTAGCATTCAATATATTTGTTAGGATGGATGAGATCTAAATTTTCTTCTTTGGACTCTGTATTTTCAAAATATTCTATCTCTAGGGTTTAAATATTTTATATTAATGTAAAGGCAATAAAAATTACCCCTTTAATGATTAAGGCTTCACATCACTCAACCCTTAATCCCAACCAGTTTACCAGTTTTCCAACTACCTTACATGTAAACCATTTAAAAATAGACCTTGATAAAATTTTCCAATGATCTCTCCCATGAGCACACACTCTCATAATATAAACTGTTGTTTATTCCTACAGCTTTAAGAGCTCCATTTTAATAAATTATAATAGTTCACATAATGGAAAGTATCAAGAGAAGCACCCAATAAAGTACTGTGCTATGATACATACCTCCACACCTCCTCTTCCCCCATGCTAAGTAGCTAGACTGTTCTTTCTTCTGAATTCTTTTTACAATCCTCCCCCTTCCCCTACATTAGGTTTTACTGTATTTCATTTCCAGGGGTATTTATTGAGATGTTACACTGCAGTGGTGGTTGAGCCTCAATTTAAGATATAGTCTATGTCTACTCAGATTAATGAGGCAAATAGATATTATAAAAGAAGCATTCATAAAATATAATAATGTAAATATTTCAAGACAAGGTATATAAAATACATTATAGAAATATAAATGAGATAGCAATTATTTTGGATCCATATGTGACAGGAAAGCTTTCTATAAGGTTAAGGAGATAAGAGGCTTTAAGTATAGGGAACAACATATGCCATGACAATGGAGACATAAAAGCAGATACTCACTATAGTATGCTTAGAGTTCAATTACAATATATCTTATGTCAGAATAAAGAGAGGAATAATTTCATTCCAGAAAGATAAAACTCAGAAATGGTGCAGACAATCCAGAAATAGCCTATTCTCTGAGTACCATTATCCTTCTGTCCAATTTATATAATATTCTCCAAAGTATGGACATATTTTATACAGGATTTTTTATATCATTTTATTAGGGGCTCATACAACTCTTCTCACAATCCATACATACATCAATTGTGTAAAGCACATTTGTACATTCATTGC